CCCCCCAGTGCCCCCAGCCCTCCCGATGCTCCCTGCAGTGCCCCCAGCCCTCCCAGTGCCCCCGCCATTGCCCCCAGCCCCCCCAGCCCCCTCGCTCACAGGCCACACACGGGGGCTGGGGGTGCCGAGGGCGCGCAGCACGCAGCACAGCTGCTCGATGTCGTTCTCCCCGGGGAAGAGCGGGGACAGGTTGAGCAGCTCCCCAAAAATGCAGCCCACCGCCCTGTGGACGCCCACACGGGGACATCACTGGGGGGGGGGACATCACCGGGGGGGGGACATCCTGATTTTTGGGGACGTTCGTTCTGGGGACACCAACACGGGACGTAAATTTATGGGCACAAACTTGGGGATCCGAATTCGGGGACCCAGATTTGGGAACATCCATTTTCAGGACACGAATTTGGAGACACGAATTTGGGGACGCCTGTTTTGGGGACGCAAATTTCAGATACCGCTTTGGGGATCTGAATTTGGGGACCTGAATTTGGGATATCGCTCTGGGGACCTGAATTTGGAGATGTTCATTTTGGGGTCCTGAATCTGGGGACCTGAATTTGGGATATTGCTTTGAGGACCCAAATTTGGGGACGTCCATTTTGGGAACCAGAATTTAGGGACCACAATTTGGTGACCTGAATTTGCCGTATCACTTCAAGGACCTGAATTAAACATGTCTATTTTGGGGACCCCAATTTGGGATATCGCTTTGCGGACCCAAATTTGGAGACGTCCATTTTGGGGACCTGAATTTGGGGACCCCAATTTGAGATATCACTTTGGGGACCCGAACTTGGAGTCGTCCATTTTGGGGACTCCAATTTGGGGACCCGAATTTGAGATATCGCTTTGGGAACCCAAATTTGAAGATGTCCATTTTGGGGACCTGAATTTGGGATATCGCTTTGGGGACCCGAATTTGGAGACGTCCATTTAGGGAACCTGAATTTGGGAACCCGAATTCGGGATATTGCTTTGGAGACCCAAATTTGGAGATGTCCATTCTGGGGACCTGAATTTGGGATATCGCTTTGGAAACCCGAATTTGGGGATGTCTATTTTAGGGACCCGAATTTGGGGACCTGAATTTGGGATATCGCTTTGTGGACCCGAATTTGGAGACGTCCATTTTGAGGACCCGAATTTGGGCACCCACCACAAATCGACGCCCTCGTCGTAGTGCCGCGCGCCGTAGAGCAGCTCTGGGGCACGGTACCACCTGTATGGGGGGGGACGACGCCGTTATGGGGGGGGGACGGACATCAATGGGGGCACAGCGACAGGGGGAGAGGGGTGGGCGCTACCTGGTGGCCACCTGGTGGCTGTAGGGCCGCCCCCGGGGGGCTGCGAGGACGCGGGCCAGCCCAAAGTCGGCCAGCTTGAGCCGCCCCGCGCCATCGATCAGCAGGTTGGCCGGCTTCAGGTCCTGCAGCACCATGAGGGGGGGGCATGGCTGTGCGACCCCCTCCCCACCCACTATCACCCATATTCTGGGGTCTCCCTGACACTCAGACCCCCCCATCCCCACATTTAGTGATCCGCTCAACTCCTCAGACCCCCATCTCTGTATTTTGGGGTCCCCTCACCCCTCTGATCCCCCAACCCCCCATCCCCACATTTTGGGGTGCCCTGACCCCCTCACACCCCCACCTCCCCATGTTTTGGGGCCTCTTCAACCCTCTGACTCCCCATCCCCACATACTGGGGTCCCCTTGACCCCCCTTCCCCACATCTTCAGGCCCCCTCAACCTCTGACCCTCCATCCCCACATAGCGGGGTCTTTTTGATCCTCCATCCCCACATTTTGGGGTCCCCAGACCCCTCAGACCTCCACCTCCCCATGTTTTCGGGCCCTCTCAATCCTCTGACCCCCATCCCCACATACTGGGGTCCCCTTGACCCCCCTTCACCACATCTTCAGCCCCCCCCACAAACTGGGGTCCCCTTGACCCCCCTCCCCCACATCTTCAGGCCCCCTCAACCTCTGACCCCCCCCATCCCAACGTTCTGGGGTCTCCCTGACCCTCCATCTCCACATTTTGGGCCCCCCTTGAGCCCCCATCCCCACATTTGGGCCCTCCTTTGCCTTCCCCCTCCCCCCCCACCCCCCTTCATCCAATTTAGGGCCCACTCACACGATGCAGGATGCGCAGGCGGTGGCAGTGCCCCAAGCCCCTCAGCGTCATGGCCAGCAGCGCCCGGATGCGGGCTGGGGGCAGCGGGGCGGGGGCAGCCCGTAGGACCCCCCCCAAATCCCCAACCACAAACTCAAAGGCCAGGACGACAGCGGGGCCGTGAGCGAAGGCGGCACGCAGGCGGACAACCTGCAACAAAATGGGGGGCGCCTGTGAAGCATCCCCAAAATTGGGGGTGGGGGCACAACATAGAGGAACCTGCGGGGTTTTTTATGGGGTGGGGGTGGTGCTTACGTGGGGGTTGTCCTCGATCTCTCGCAGAGCTTTGATCTCCCGCAGTGTCTGGGGGGGAACGCCGTCCTCGGGGCGACGCAGCGGAACTTTCTTCAGGGCCACCGTCTCCCCAGTCTGGGGGGAGGGAGTTGGGGGGGGGGGGCAGGAAGTGACGTCATACGGCAGTGACGTCACACAGCAGTGACGTCATAGGGCAGTGATGTCACGTGGGGGTGATGGCATCATACGGCGCATGGTGTCACATGAGGACTGTCCTTCCCCCCTCTCCCAAAGTCCTCCATCCCCTTACTTTGTTACTTCAGCCTTTCTGCATCCCATAATATTCAGGCTTCACTAAATGTTTCCCATTTCTACTGCATTATCCTCACTTTCACCTCAAAACTTCCCATTCTTGACCCAAATCCCCATTTTCTCCCTATCCTCGTTTTCACCCCCAAATCCCCACTTTTTTTTTTAACCCCAAACCTTCCCCATTTTGCCCCAAATCTGCCCCTTTTTGCCTCAAAATCCCCTCTTTTTACACCCCAAATTGCCTTTTACCTCAAGATCCCCCCTTTCCACCTCAAATCTTCCCTTTTCATCTTAAAACCTTCCAAGATCTCCACTTTTCACCTCAAATTCACCCCTTTTCACCTCAAAATTCCTCTTTTTTCCCCCTCAAAATTCTTTTTTTTTTAGCTTAATCTCCTATTTTCTCATGGGATTCCCATTTTTCATCTAAAATCTTTACTTCCTACCTCAAACCTCCCCTTGTTACCCCAACCCCCCCTTTTTATCTTATGTTTCCTCTCTTATACTAAAACTTCTTGCTTTGCTTCAAGTCTCTTTTTCGCTTTCTCATCTTTTTACCTGAAAACTTTCTCTTTTTACCCCACGACCTCTTACTTTTCATTCTAAGATTGAGTTTTGAGATGGAAAGTGTAATCTCCAACCTTAAATCTCTTCTTTTATCTCAAATCCCTCCTTTTTACCTCAAATCTCTCCTTGCTTCTGCTATTCTCACTTCAAGATTTCTGCTTTTCATCTCATATCTCTTCTTCCTTTCTCAAATCCTCCCCTTTTACCTCAAATCCCCCATTTTCACCCCAAATCCCCCTTTTTTTACCCCAAGATCTCCTATTCCTACCTCTAGATTTCTACTTTGCACTTCATATCCCCATTTCCTACTTCAAAAACCCCCCTTTTTACCCCAAATCCCCCCTTTTCACCTCAAATCCCCCCTTTTCAAGATTCAAATCCCCCCTTTTTACCTCAAAATCACCTATTCTTACCTCAAGATTTTTGCTTTTGGGCTCATATCTCCCTTTCCTACCCCAAATCACCCCTTTGTACCTCAAATTCCCCTTTTTTACCCCAAAATCTCCTATTCTTACCTCAAGATTTCTGGTTTTCATCTCACATCTCCGCTTCCTACCTCAAATCCCCCCTTTTCACCTCAAATCCCCCCTTTCCACCTCGAATTCCCCATCTTCACCTAGAACCTCACCTTATTTTACCTCAAATCCCCCATTTTCACCCCAAATTTCACCTTTTCAAGATTAAAACCCCCCCTTTTTACCTCAGCATCCCCTATTCTTACCTCAAGAATTCTGCTTTTCACCTCGTATCTCTGCTTCCTACCTCAAATCCCCCTTTTTACCTCAAATACCCCGTTTTTACCCCCAAATCTCCCCTTTTCACCCCAAATCCCACCTTTTTACCTCAGAATCTCCTATTCTTACCTCAAGATTTCAGCTTTTCACCTCAAATCCCTACTCCCTACCTCAAATCCCCCCTTTTCACCTCAAATCCCCCCTTTTCACCTCACGATCTCCTACTTTTACCTCACGATCTCTGCTTTCCCCCCGACTCCCCCTCCTTCTTACCTCAAGATTTCAGCTTTTTGCCTCAGATCCCTACTCTCTACCTCAAATTCCCCCTTTTCACCTCAAATCCCCCCTTTTCACCTCACGATCTTCTACTTTTACCTCACGATCTTCTACTTTTACCTCACGATCTTCTACTTTCCTCCCGATTCTTCTTCCTTCTTACCTCAACATCTCAACTTTTCGCCTCAAATCCCTACTCCCTACCTCAAATCCCCCATTTTCACCTCAAATCTCCCCTTTTCACCTCAAACCCCCCCTTTTCACCTCAAATCCCCCCCTTTCCACCTCACGATCTCCCACTTTTACCTCACGATCTCCGCTTTCCCCCCGATCTCCCCGCCTCCCCCCCCTCACCTCCCGATCCTTCGCTTTGAAGACGACTCCGTGCGCTCCCTCCCCGACGCGGCCCAGGATGAGGTACCGCTCCATCCCGCTCCCCCCGGGCAGCGCCATGGCAGCGCCGGAAAGCGCTGAGGTGGCTGGGGAGGGGATGGGGGGGGGGGGGGAAGGAAGGAGGGTCCTCCCGCATCCCACAATGCCCCGCGCGCGGCCCCTCTGCCTCCGCTCGGCGCTCCCGTTGCCAAGCAACAGCGCTTCCCGCCTCTACGCCACGCCCCTCGCAACCGAGCCCCGCCCCTTAGCGACCGCGCTACGATTGGCCGAGCGCTCTGCGCGGGGTCGCGAAGAGAGCGCTGATTGGCTGGCGGAGTGGCCCCGCCCCTTTCTCCTTAGGCCGGCGCCGCTCGCTCCCCTCAGTGAGGTGCGGGCCGGGGGCTCCGCGCGGCTCGGGGTTTTGTTTCGTTTTATTCTTTATTTTTATTCTTTTTTGTTTTTTTTTTGGACGGAGGGGGCACGGGTTCGATCTTTTCGTCCTCCACCAGGATGTCGGCGCTGCCTCCGCGGGAGTTCGCGGCCCAGGTGCTGCCGGGCTGCGTGGTGCCGACCGCTCGGCAGGGCCTGGCCCAGCTGTGGCCGCTGCTGCTGCTGTGCCTCGGGGCGAGGCTGCTGCACCGGCTGCGTGAGTGGGGGAGCCGGCTGTATCGGGGGGTCTGAGGGGCTTGGGGGGGTATTCAGGGCCCTGAATGTTGGGGGGGGGTGGTCCCAAGCGTTAGGAGGGCGTCGCGGTGTCCATAGGGCCTTAAA